TTGGAGAGAAATATTTCAATAACTTTAAATTCACACATTTTTAGATTCAGCATTCTACTTTTAGAATATTGTACTATGAATATATTTACAAAGATACCCACAGGAAAAATATAGAAATAAGCTAAGTATCAGTCAAGATGGGAATAGTTGAATTATTTGTGATGTATTCATACTGCAAACTATTATGTAGCTATTAAAAATGTCAGATTTTAAATGTTTATATGGAAATACTGCTAAAATATATTGTTAAGTAGAAAGAAAGGAAATTATGACTAAGCATCATTTATAGAAAGGACATTTTTTTCCCAATTAGTCTCACTCTACCATTCCATTAGTCTCCTTGCCTACCAAGTGCTATTACTACTTTGCCTTAACTACTTTAGCTTTATAATAGGACTTGGTATACAATATAAAATTCTCTCTACTTCATCAAGATGCTTGGAATATTCTTGGCTCATTGTATTGCCATAAAAATTTCATAACTGGTTGATATCAACTTTACACAAGATAACTTACACATTTTAACATTGGATTGCATGGAATCTATGCATTGATTGGGGGAAATTGACACATTACCAATATTGAGCCTATCATACTATAACCATGGCCTATCTTTCCATTCATTTAAGTCTTTTAAAATTTATCTCCATATTTATAGTTCTCTTTGAATATGTCTTTTACAGCTTTTATTAGATTTATTCCTAGGTAGTTTATATGTACAATGCAATTATAAATGATACTGTCTTAATGTAATATGATTAACTAGGCTTTAATAATTTTGGGGGAAATTTCTGATCATCAAATTAGACATCATGGTAATAATGAAAATGATAAGGAAAGTTCTGTAGTACTCTCAGGTAGTGATATAAATATATACAAGATACTGCAAGATAATCACAAAGTGATAGACAAAACAATTTTCAAATGACAAAACACTTGAACAAATATTTCCCAAGAGGATATCCAAAGACAAGTAAGCATTAAAAAATAGTAATTAGGGAAAGGAAAATTAAGATCAGAGTGAGATATCTCTCTATACCCACCAAAATTGCCTGATTTTTTTCTAATTGGGGTAATGTTTACATCATTGCTTGTATTTGGGGGGTATAGGATACACCCTACCCCTTCCTGTCTTATTTTCATGGAGCACCTACCACCAAAACACATTAGTCCCTTGATCTAAAATATTTTTAAAACTCAAGATTTATACTGTCAGGGAGGATGTAGAACAACTAATAATCTCACACTCACTGCTGATGGGATCCAAGTTCAGGAGCCAAAGTCTGGAAGACTTTGAAAAACTGGCATTGCCTCTCAAAGTTAAACATAACAAATGATGGTACAACCTAGAAATCACACCTCTATATAAATACCTAACAGTAATTCAGACATGAGCATGAAGAGACTTGAACAAAGTGTTCATAGCAGCAGTATACACTAATGCCCAAACTTGGAAACAACCCAAATGTCCATCAACTGTAGGATGGGTACATAAGTTGAGATATGTGTTTATGTAATTGAATATAGTTTATTCTATGTATGTCTATATTTCTCTATAGTAGATGTTCCATAGTAATAAAGTAAGTAAATAAAATCACTGGTACCTATAATGCCATGGATTAAGTTTACAAAATAATGTTGAGTACAAATAGACATAAAACAAAATGATCATCCCAATTTATGTTAGGATTCAGAATAATAGTTATCTGGGGAGGAGAGGGAGTAGTGTTTGGCAGATGGCATGAAGGGCACTTTGGGGAAACTTTTAATATTCCATTTTTGAGTCTGAGTAATGATTACATGGGTGCATTCATTTTACACTAATTTATCATCTGTCATGAATTGTGAACTTTTCTCTATATGTGTTATGACTTATTGAAGACTTTTTGAACATATGAGAAAATAGAGCTTTTCTAGGTATATACTAAATGTTACTGTTTTAAATGAGTGGGACTAGAGATTGAGAGAGAAGAAATTTTAGTTTCGATTTTAGATGTTTTTTGCTATTTATACTTATCCATTAGCATGTATTGTTCATATGACTTTTACAGATTGAAGAAGTTAAAATCTGCAAAAATATCTAGAAAATCTCTTGAATGTGATAGAAATTTAATTTCCTTATTGAAATTCATATAGTTAAATAAACATATATATCATATGTAAGAAGTATATAATAATAAATAATTATAATAATTATATTAACTAATATGTTTTGGGTTAAAATCATTTCTGGACTGAGAGTTGGTTTCTAATTTCACTACAACATGGAAACTTCCTATGATGCAACAAATGTATATTAGTTCTTTAGTGATTTTGATTTTATAGCCATAATCTGACCCCTTATTTACTAAAATATTGAAAAATTAAAATTCTGTTCCTATCTTAGAGGTAGAAAGAGCTTAGATTTTAGAGTTAGAAAAATCTGAATTTTTTTAAAGATTTATTTATTTATACAAGAACTGGGGTACAGGCCAGAGGTGCGTGAGAGTGAGAGAATTCACCAGAGGCAGAGTGGGGAATAGAACAGGCAGATCCACTGAAATACACTGCTGAGGGGAGCAGTGGGCGAGACAGGAGAGGTCTACTCTGCCATGTGGGTATCTCCCTGGCCAGCCGGGAATCAAACCCATGTTGCAGAGGCTGCAGGCAACTGATACACAGTGCTGTGTTCAACCTGCTGTGCCACAGGGGAGGCCTTAGAAAATCTGAATTTAAATATGATGCCTTCATTTACTAGTGTTGTGAACTTGAGCAAATTTCTTAAATCCCTTGAGTTTAAGTTTCTTTATCTGTAAAATATGAGTAAGTATTTTCATCTTGTAGCCTTATTGTGCAAACCAAATAGAAAAATATATTTTGAACATTTTCATTATATAGTGAGTGTATATAATGGCAACTGTTTGGAATCAATAGATGTATCTCTAATGTTTATCAATTTTTTTTAGTCTTATGATAAAACTGAGAATAGATCTTAAAAGTTCTCTTTGAGGAAAAAAATATGTAAGTATGCATGGTGATGGGTAGTAATGTCAGTTATTCCTTAATTTTAAAAAGGAACATTGTCATTAAAATCTTTTCTCATGTCTTTTTGGCATGTCTTCTTATATTTTGTAAGATCATCACACAGTTTGTAAGTATCAGCAAGGGTGATTACATGTGGAGTGTCATTTTGAAGTTTCAGAATTTACTCAAACCTAAGTGTAAAAGAAAGTTCTTCTGTGTAGGTATATATTGCAAGTATATGAAGTCATATTTAAAAATTGTACTATGTGAAAATATTTGAGAAAAATGTAATGACTTTGTTGCTTTCTTCTGAATATTGGCCTTAGAAAACTTACCATTCTCCATATGTGGAATTGAAAAGCAAAACAAAATTTATGCTCATAAAACCTTAAGTACTCTACTCTTTCAATTTATTGACTACTTCCTAATAACTAATTAATGTTAATTTAGACAACATCAATGTAGGGTAATATTTTATGGAAAAATAAGATTTTTAAAAGCAATAATCAAGATTAACTCAATTTTGAAGGGACTTAGTCTGTTTATAATATAGTTCTTGCTAACATTTAATTTCCCTATCATAGTAGTAGATTTTACTATTTTAACAGAATTCAACTAACACTTTAGGGAAAGACAAGGGAAAGCCATTAACATTTATTACCCAATTTTTTATTATACAATACCCAGTTGTTTATTATACTATAATTGTTTATTATATAATTATTATAAAATTGTTTAGGTAATTCACATAATCTATTGTCTATTTCTGAAATAAAATTTACATATTAAGAAACTAAAGTTCAAGGAGATCTGGCGACTTTTTCAAAACCATAAAGTTGGATGGGGAGGGATTCAAAGTCTTTTCTCCATGAATATATCAGTAGTGTTTTTTTTTTTAATTGATTTGTTATATTGGTTGATTGTGTTCATTTTTAAAAAAAGATTTATTTTTATTTATTTATGCATACAAGAACTAGGATGTAGGCCAGAGGTGGGGCCTGATGGGGAGGGGCATGAGAGGATTCATCAGAGACAGAGCAGGGAACGAAACAGGTGGATTGACTGAAATACACTGCTGAGGGGAGCAGCAGGTGAGACAAGAGAGGTCTGCTGTGCCATGTGGGTTACCTCCCCGGCCCGGGAATTGAACTCAGGCCATAGTGGCTGTCAATAGCTTGAGAGCCCTGAGACTTTAACCCCTGCACCACCAGAGAGGTCCACTGGTTGTGTTCATTTTTTGTCATTAAATGGCAAGTGAGAATGGACTTGCTAATATTTCAGAATTATATTTCACTTGATTTTCTAGTTTTGTCACTTTTATAGTAGTAATAGAGTGTAATAATAATATAAAAAAATGAAGTGATATTTCCCCCAATAATGATAATCTGCTTCTTGGAGCAAAAAGACCAGAATCACATTTATAAACTTTAAAACTGTGCATGTACGAGACATATGTATAGAACTGCATCCAAAACAAGTAACAGTTTAAAAATACTTTTCAATCATGTTGATGATCGTGATTCAGCCAAAATATTCCAATAGCATTGTAACCTGATCCATATGAAAACAACTAAAATGACTCCAAAAATATAAAATTTCTATGCTACTGTTTAGTTAGTGTTTGAATTATCTTCAAATTCTCCCACACTTAGGGAATAGTATTTCTCCAGCTGGGGCATAAAGATCTTAGAGTCATTGGAAACATTTTCCTTGGGGGAAGGTGGTAGTTTTATCATTTTTTCCTTTTCCCTTAGTGATGGTTTTAATCTTTGAGTGGTAAATGTGACCAAGTGTAGAAAATAAAGTTTTACAGTGGCTCAGAACCAAATGGTTATTGAATCCTCAGATTTCATAGTTAACATTATTTGAAGATTTTAAGTTTCACATTATTTTATTTAATAGAATCATACATTTTCATACAAGTGATTTAGCTTTTCATGTAGCTCACACAAAGTTCTAAAAAGCTATAGATAATGACTTTATTACTTTTTTCTAAGGTCATAGAACTAAGATCCATTGCCTGCACCTATATCTTCTTCTGGATTGTTTATTCATCCTTCAGGACTCAGCTTCCCTGATGCCCTAGACAAGGTACAGCTTCCTTTTTGTGTAGCTCCTTGGTACCTCATATTTATGCTATAAAAATAAATATTCACTTAACAATAGGTAATCTTAATCATGCAGTTTTTCTAAATGGCATTTAAATTGTCTGGTTTTGTTTATATTGTTTTGCTTCTTTTTAAGTGGACTATGGTCACTCCAATTGTCCTATTGAGCTTGGTCCTATTGACCTTGGTTCTTAAATTGGAGTTATATTAAATTTAAAAATGTACATAGAAACGCATACTAACAAAGAAATATGATAACTTCAATTGCTCTGTCACAACATCACAAAAATATGTACACATCATTTGTCTTTAGAAAAAATAGCGTCTTTTAACCTTCTTACTCCTTTTTTGAAATGCTGTGTTTCTCAGGTTCAACATCAAAAGCAACCATCAGTCCACTGAGTTTATGGTACCAATCTACAGTTGTTTTTGTGGTAGTCACTAAACCTGAAAGACACCCTTAATTGCCTGTGATGCTTGTAAACAACTATACATTAATGGGTTGTGTTATTACAGTTTAACTGGGCTACCTTCCAAAATATAGACTTTGCATGTATATTTCCACAGTATAAAAATACTTTTCTGTTCATCAAGGTAATTAAGAGATTGTACAAAGAAGTAGACAAATTATGAGAATTCACTAGAGTATAATACCATAATGCTATGAATAGAAAGTTTGACTTGTGATGAAAGCTTAGAAGAGAGACCTAGTGAAAACTGGCAAAACATTGACTTGGGAATAGTAAAAAGGTCATAATTACAGACTGCAAATATGTGAAAATGCTAGTGTTCATGAAAAGGAAAAATAGCTGATTTTTTTCTTTTGCTTCTTGTTTTTGGTATTTTCAATCTTAGATTTTTAGAGCTATTTTCCAAACCTTTTGCCTACTAGTTCAACAATCAGAGGGATATTTCCAGTAGTATATCTTACTTTTATTGTTTCAAAGGAATATTTAATCTCCTTTATAACTTTCCTTTCACACCTGATTTGCCTGTTTCTGTCAGTAACACTTTACATTTTTAATCTTTGGCTGCTTCTAATGCCAGAGCATTAGAGTTACTACCTGCATTTATTCCTTCATGTCTTTTATGTCCAATTAGCCCTTACATCTTGTTGATTTTTCCGTTATGTGGCCTTTAATTTTTACTAATGTTTTTTGATTCCTTGTTCAAATAACCATTTTAGTTCAGGTCACTGGGTATAGATAGCATAATAGGCTTCAATATCTCCATTTATTCCCTTCTCCAAGCTATTTTCATATCTAGTTGTTACTTGTATACTCTTTTTCCCTGGAGGGACAAACATGTGGTTCTCAATGTAGGAGGAATTCAATAATTATCTGTAGGTTCAATGAAGCAAAACTGTATGGAACATACGGTGGCAAAATACTGAGAGGTAAACAAAAATGTTTCCTCACAGGAAGAAATTGTGAGTGCGTGTGCATGTGTGTGTGTGTGTTTCAGTATATACATTCACTGTTAATGAAGTGGGTCCTTTGAAAAGTTGTGATAGCTTCAAAAATAAAGCACTGACATATCAAAACATTTCACAAATTGTGAGGGAGGAAGAGCTAATAATTGTAAAGCTAAGGTGTGGCAAAGTTGTGTTAATCTACAGCAGTGTTTTTGAATAAACTTTCCATAGTGATGGAAATTGTCTGTATTATAGGCACTAATTACCTGTCGTTATTGTGATCTTGAATTTCCTGACTGTAACTAAAAAAACTGAATTTAAATCTTATTTAGTTTTGATTAATTTAAACTTGAATAGACACATGTGACTAAAGACTACTATGTTGGAAGGCAGAGATCTAGTCAGAAACTGTCCTGAAGATTATGAAGATTATGTCCTAAAGATTATTTACTTGTGTTTTTTTGTTGCAATTACCCAAAATTCTCAGGTGGTTTTCAGAAAACGATATATAGGAACCATCTTCATCTCAGTAGAAATACAGCCTAACTCTGGTTACACGGGATGGTTATACATGAAAAAAAAAAAAAAAAAACTGCTATCTGGATGTCTGGCCCAGGGCTCTGGTGCTTTGCTCAGATAAAGACTATGTACAACACAAGCCATAGACAGACTTGTACTAGCGATCCAAGCCCAGAGAGAAAGCAGCCTTCTTCTCTTATGTCCAGGAAGCAGCAAATATTAGCCTACTAGTAACTCTTTTTCCAATTCTTTTATGTTCCAACTGAGAAGAAGCAAAGGGAAGACTGGCAGGAAAGTAATAGCCAGAGTGTAGTCATGGGTAATCAACAATCCTTGAAATTATGGAGATCTGACTGCAGAGAGCTCAACACAGTGCACATTTCCCTGTGGAAATAGGGGAATAATGGTGTGTCTTATCTGTGTTCCTAAACCTCTTTGAAGTCAACAGCTGCTACCTGTTCTATGTTCCTTCTTTGTGCCTACTGTTGGGTAGAATCAATGAGATTTATCCCGGTACAGGCTACTAATTTCTGGGATGCTTAACCAGAGCAGCCAGAGCCTTGCTTAGCTTTTTCACTTGGCTGAATCTACCCCAGCCACCCTCCCTTGACTTGTTTCCTGTCATTCCACATTGGAAGCTGAATACCTGCAGTCCTGCTGTGAAGCAAATGTGATAATGTCTGTGAGGCAGTTATAGTTTGTGAGGAAAATTCAAAATTCAGCATAAGAGTTGTAAGAATATTTTCTGAATTTAAAATAGATAGGTCTTATATTTCTTTTTTATTTTATATTGTATCTTCATATGCATTTTTTAAATTCTGAAGTGTTTAAAAGCTTGCAGAGAAGTTGAAGTATAACACAAAAAAGTTTTCCCATGAACGTTTTGATCACAAAACAAAGATATTATGATAAACAACCACCACACAGCCATCAAAACCAGAAACTTATTCATGCTAACATAACCTTTTGATTCCAGTCAGATGTTACCAATTGTTTTAGTAATCCTTTATTGCGAAAGATCTCATTCACACATTGCCTTTTAGTTGTCAAACCTCTAGTTTTCTTTTATCTGGAACAGTTTCTAAGTCTTCTTTGACTTTTATTTATTTATTTTTTTTAAGATTTATTTATTTATTATTTATACAAGCACTGGGTACAGTCAGAAGCGTGGGAGGGTGAGAGAATTCACCAGAGCCAGAGCAGGGTGCAGAGCAGGCAGAAGGACTGAAGTACACTGCTGAGGGGAGCAGCGGGCGGCAGGAGAGGTCTGCGCCCCATGTGGGACCCTCCTCCAGTGGCCGAGGAGCAGCCGGGGACCGAACCGGCACTGCAGAGGCTGCGGGTAGCTTCGCAACCCAGCGCTCAACCGCTGGGGAGGCCCCTGACTTTTATGTTTTTGATATTTTTTGAAGATTGTAAGTTTTTTTTAATATCTCTCAGTATGAATTTGTCTGAGATAACTGTATTAACTATATTTCCATATTTCATATATATTTTCATGCTTTGACATTGGGGCTTCACTGACTGGGGTGACACTGTCCCTCCCAGGTAATGCTCTAGGAGTGTGCCTTTCATATGCAAACCAACTATTCAGAGCCCATACTAGGGGCCACCTCTACATTCTGGCTCTTATACTCTAGGAGGAAAATTGTTTCTTCCCTAATCACATAGAAGATAGCTGGAGATAGTCCCTGAGATAGCTAGAGATACCCCAGAGCTCACTGAAAATATTCAAAGGAATCAATCCCTAACCTGTTTATTGTGCTTTCCCTTCCCTTCCTTAAAAGGCTACTACAATGAATGCACCTGCTCCTTCTGCCTTCTGTCGAATCCTGGTGCTCTCCCTGGTCCTTCATGACATGGAATGTCTCCTCATCTTACAAAATTTGATAACAAGCTATTTTTCCCAGTGACAATCATCTCTTAATATGTTGGGTTCACCATATCTGCATTTTGTAATAAAACCTGCATTTTGAAACAACTCTTCATTATTAGATTCAGGGTATACATTTTTCATAGGGATGTCACAGGAATAATACTGTGTTCTTCTCTGCATCCTATCAGTAGGTACACATTTTTCTCTGTCCCATTACTGACAATGTTCGCTTTGATTGTTTGATTAGGATGGTATCTGCCAGTCTTCTCTTCTATAGAGTTACTTATTTTCCTCTTTGTAATTGTTAAGTGCTTTGGGGGGATAGTACTTTGTAACTATGTGCATATTATTTTCCTTATCAAACTTTAATTTTTTTCTTTATTTATTAATGAGAATGGTGCTTTCCAAACCAAGACAATGTATCAGGAACAGAGAGGCATTTGCTTGGCTTGGCATGATCATGTTAGCATTGGTGGAAAGCAGCCATCTCAGATGCAGTGCCATTGACTTAAAAGGAAATTGACTAGTAAAATACTAGCTATAATTGGTTGTCTAACATCTGACAAATCTCTAACTCTCAAGTTCACTATTACCTGACTGTGAATCAAGAATATTTGTATTAGGGTTCTATCATTTGGCAGCAGTAAGCAGAAAATGCTGATTCATATGTTTAAACAACATTGGTAATTTATCATCTACCATAGCAAGAAGTTAATCATTTGAAGATATCATTAGCTGATGTGCGTGAGAATATGTGTGTTGTGTGTATATGTGTTTGTGTTTTCCACTCCCAATTGTTCTCAGTATGTTTACTATTCTTTATTCTAGGCCTCATGACCATAAAGTGACAGCAAGAGAACCAGATACCCTATCAGATCACAACCATATCCAGTGGAATAACAGAGACTTTCTCTTTCTTATTAATCCTCATTATTTTATTGAGGAAGCTTTTCCACAAGACCCCAGCAGAATTCCACTGTCTCTTTGGGTACATTGGTATCATGTGCCCATGTCAAAACTAGTTTCTGGCCAGGCAATGAGAACAGAATGAATGCCTTCTACCAATTGTGAGTCACTCTTCAAAACTGGGCTGAGGCTCACCTCCCTTGAAATCATGGCTAGAGATAGAGGAGTGTTTATCTGAGTGGAAAGCAGAGGTTGAAAGGCAATGATT